ATATTGCATTCTAACAATGTGCCATCACAGCTCACCATACCAATATAGAAATGCTCATTAACCCACTGTCCTCCCAGCCTTGCTACTTCTGGTTCATTTCTCCTACAAAATTTCTGCCAAAGAAGCAGAAATCTCCAAATGGTTTAAGATTCGGGTAGATTGAAAGCATTTAAATACAGCTAATTTCTATCCGTTCCATGTTACCCTACTGCATGCCACTGTCACTGAAAATAACATTAGGAACTACAAGAAAAATCCTGGAGAAGCAGTGAGGCTACTAAGATATTCTTTGTTTTAATGACAAAAATATATTTCTCACTGCTTCAATGAAGTGTGGGGGGGGGGGGGGGGGGAACCAGAAAAAAACAAAAACAGTGTTACACATGCTAACCATTTTATTTCATTTTGAGCTAAGGTCTAAAGATAGATTTACACCATTTTCTGTGTCTGCAGAATGGATGGTTATGGTTTAAAACCAGTGGATTTCTCAGTGAATTTCTGGAAGATCTTGCCTCTAGCCTTCAGATTTTCTGCAAAATTGATGGAGCCTTAGGACTTGGATTTTTCAGTGTTTTCCTAGCTTTGGGGAACAAAAACATTTAAGTAGCTATAAAACCATGTAGAGCCTCTTCTAAGCTTCTGTATGTTTCCTGCTCCGAAATGGAAACAAACTGTACATTGATTTGAGGTAAAATTGTAGTGATTAGTGCAGATTACAGGAACCAGTAAAAGTGGACTGGGGAAATGCAGATTGTCACTCCTTGCCTTACCAATTTGAGAGAAATAAGAATGGGAATATTTAGAGTTAAACCTAAATATCCTACTAAGCAACAGGCATCACTGATTGCCTTGCCAGAGTCTCTGCAGATTGGACTAGAAAACCTCTAGATCTGAGGCTCAGAGCCTATAATCAAATGATCAATTCGCAAGCATGCACTGCACAGAGTACACTTCAGGGAAAATAGCAATAGAAATAGCAATAGCAATAGCACTTAGACTTATATACTGCTTCCTAGTACTTTACAGCCCTCTCTAAGTGGTTTACAGAGTCAGCCTCTTGCCCCCAACAATTTGGATCCTCATTTGACCCACCTCGGAAGGATGGAAGGCTGATTCAACCTTGAGCCTGGTGAGATTTGAACTGCCAAAGTGCAGGAAGCCAGCAGTCAGCAGAAATAGCCTGCAGTACTGCACTCTAACCACAATGCCACCATGACTCAAATAAGATGGATGCAGCAATATATCTTGTGGTTGGCAGATAATCTCAATATGCATACATCCCTTTTTTTCAGGTGTGAAGTGCTAATTTATAAGAGTTGTGAATAATTCACTCTTAACAGAATGCAGAATATCAGAGTTGGAAGGACCTTGTAGATCTTTTATTCCAATCCCCTGCTCAAGCAGGAGAAGCTATAGCATTACGCACAAATGGTTGTCTAATATATTCTTAAAAACCTCCAGTGAAAACAATTTCTGGAGGCAAGCCCTTTCATTGACGAATTGTTCTCGCTTACTGGAAATTTTGCCTTAATTCTAGGTTGCCTCTCTCTTTGGTAAGTTTCTATCCATTACTTCTTCTCCTGCCTTCAGGTGCTTTGAAGAATAGCGTAACTCCCTCTTTTCTGTGACAGAACCTCAAATATTAGAAGACGGCTATCATGTCACTCCCTAGTCCTCTTCCTCAAACTAGACATACCTCATTCCTTCAATTGTTCATAACATGCTTTAGCCTCCAGTCCCTTAATCATCTTTGCTGATTGAAAAAAATATCTTCTGTATTTTCTTTTTATATTTATGTATTACTTTCTCCCCATCCCCACATATGTGTGTGCATTTGTGTATATGCATGTATCTCTGAGGGAGATGATTGGGTAAAAAATACAAGAAATATAAAATATAAATAAATACATTTATTCTTTTCATATTTTCTACGTATATGAATGTATTGAGTGTAAAATGTCCTTCAGTGGACATAAACTGTGGAAAACCTACTGCTGGTATTTTTTTATTCTACCTCACCCCCCTCCCCCAAAGCCTTGGAGTGCAGCAGTTTATAAATCTCATACATAAAAAAAATAAATCGCATGAGATGTTCCCCTTAAAATGGCGTTGTTGGGCCATCAACTTGGAGGCCTGTAACTCTATATTTATGAGGGGGAGCATTAAGGACCCCACAATCATGATCAGATAAGACACCACTTTGTTTTAAGTGCCTATTAACTGATTCTAAATTGTAGTGCAATGCCTTTGCAAGTACTTTTGACATTCACATTCATATAGCTGCTCTGATCAAAGCTGATGGAAGCGTATAGCAAATGATCCAATGATAATGCAGCCTGTAAAGCATCACAGAGTGAATTGCAAGCAATCCTTGATTGTCTCTTTTCTCCTTGTCATCCTTCTTTTTTCCTTTTTCCATACAGTTATTTTACTGTCCCATTTCCCCAGTTATTTTCATCTGAGGAACAGAATGGTTTTCAGGCCATTTGGTGAGTATGTATGCCTGTATATATAACACATTCCTGGGTCTGCATTTCTCATATGGATGGGACAGAGAAATGGGTGAAACCTGACATATAATTTCTTGTGGCTTTTCCAACTGTGATATGCCTACATTACATTGCAGATTTCATCTTAAATGATAGCTTTCATTCATTCCTCATCTCCCAATGCTGAAACAGTGTTTTAGATTTTGTTGTAAGCATTGTTCAAAGAGGGCTATTGATACAGAGTGAAAATGGCAGCTACCAAACTACCCATAGGATTTCTCTATGGAAATTCTCAGTCAATCCTACACATATTAGGATTCAATTTAGGCAGCTGAGAAGTTCAAATGAAAGAATGACTGCCAATATCTCCATTTAAATTCCACTCCCATTAGAGAATACCTTCCAAAATTAACAAGGGGAATCTGTGCTTATTTCGTAAACTCTCAATGCTTCCTCCCTGCCTGCCTGCCTCCCCAAGGGGGCTAATAATGTTGCAATGACAAACTTAATTGCTATTCAAAGCCCGCACTTTGAATTGTACCTGGAAACACAAGCAAAAATATGTTAACCGATGCACAACCTGATTAATAATCTGGATGAGGGTGTTCCCCATGTAATACCCTGCAGAGGAAAGAACATTATTGTTTGTTTGACTCAGCTTAGCAAATTGAAATATGTGCCATTAAACTAACAAATGACTCAGATGAGCTTTAACTCAATACTAATGAAGAAGGAATCCCACACAATTAAACCAGTCACGTGGGCAACCACAATGGAGGAAAGTGGGAGCTTTACTTCAGCTTTAATATTTCTACATGATCTTTCAGGAGAAGGGCCCTGAATCAAAAGCCTGAACACAAGGGAGGTGGGAAGGAAAAAATAGGAAGGAATAACTACATAAATAAATAGGAAGATTTTCAACTTGCCTTGTACTTATAGAGAGTTATTGACTAGATAAATCAAAGCAGGAAAATGCAGTCATTCTGGGTTTGAGACACCTTCATGTACTGCAGATTCTGCTTAATGGCCTCACTGATAAAAAGCCACAAAAAAGGAAGAAGAATTAACTCTGTAGAGGGAACTTTATGTCTGTGATTTATGAGAGAAATAGTGGAGGCTACAACTTAACAGAGAAGTGTAGACAAAAGAGAGTGAATTCCAGCTATTTGCTACACCTCTTCCAATTCTTCCAAAAGACACAGTATAATTATGACATTAGCCACACTCTTGCTTTTCCAAATGCTTTCAACAATTATCCACCGCAAATATTAAATCATTCCTTATGAGGATCTATGTGGACATATGTTGTGCTTGAAAGACCTTACTACTTAGGTATTCAAAACATGCATGAGCACTGTGGTCCTTATCATGGACTTGGGTTAGCAATGATGGTTGACTGCCTGCATAAAGAAAGCCAACAACTGAATGCCCATCAGGTTTGGCACTTCACGCAACTAGCAATGTCCTCGCAATTCAATTTACTCTCTAGACCTGGGTACTCAATAGTTCAACCTACAACAGGTTGACTTGGTTGGAAGAAGAGGCTAATGACAGCATGCCGTGCAAGTAACTCAATCCAATCAGCGGTGTGGTTAGAGGGGATGAGTTTGTCCAAAGATGGATTGGAAATAAATGAATCACTCTGGATCTACATTATGGAAATAAAGAAAAGTCCAGAAATCAAGGGTTGGGGTTTTTTTGAGACTATTCTAGAAACTTCAGCTCTGTTGTCATTTTTTTTTTAACTCAACATACCAGATGCAGGGAGAGATGAGGCATAGGAAGAAAAGGATGGGTATATAGCCTCAACAATGTCAATGCTAGCCTTAATTGGGTCACTGCAGTTTCTCTTTCTCTGTGAATCTCTTTTTAAAATTATTTTAAAAAAAGACTGATGGCCATCTGGCAGCTTCCCCATTTGATTATGGCATGTGCTTCAGGAGTGCAGCAATAGTTACTTAGGATATCAGCTGACTGGGCATCTGAGTTTTGTTTAGGAAAAGTGTTCATCAAAAGTTTTCTCCTGGTGATGGCCACAGTCAATTCAACAATGACTCTGAACCATAATCACATTCCTGATGGTGTTAATGATGAATTATTCTTCCCTAAAATTTCTCTTTAGTATTTGAGACTGGAGCTACTGCCACTTTCATTCTGTCAGTGAATCAGTTATGACTTACTACTAAGTACATTTACAAACTGAAGTTCAGCACAACATACATAACAAACCAACAACTAGCACTGGTGAGCCCCAGTCATAAATGCCCAGAAGTTCTTCTGCTTTTTCTGAATTCCTTTCTTTCTAATACAACATATACCTGGGAACTGCATGATTTTACTCCACTAGTTTTAATGCATACCTGTTTCCAACACACAACTGTCTTCCCAATGCGAAGTTATTTTCAAGCCCTGAACCAAAATACACCGAGAAAACCCACAATTTATTTTCCTACCTACCTCTACCACATGGACGTCAATGAAGGGGGTGGGGAGAAAGGGGTTGATTTGTACCTTTCATTCCAAACTTTGATCGCCGTCCATATTTGTTGATCATAATAAATAGGACCACCAGGAGAACACAGGCGAAAGCTGCAAGACCCACTGCGATAGATACCTATAAAGAATATCCTGGATGTTAGAGGATCATTGAATACTCAAATCACTTGCATTCAAATGTATATGTTTGTCTCAATAGTCTATTATCTTTACAGTCACTGATGAGAATTCTGCAAATAACCAAATCATCAAAATAATTAAACTAGCTATGTCATATAAGTAAAAACAACTTAAATATTATAAGTTTCTCTTATATATTAAAATGAAGGGAATATATATGTATGATTCAGAGAGAAAGAAAGAGAGGAACTCAAGAAATACATGGCAGAAAAATAAACCGTCAGGAGCAAAGAAAGGGGTAAAGCTATAGCAGAACAAGGAACACCTGTTCAACTTTTCCCCCCATTAAATTAATAACACATCTTCAGAGTTAAGTATTAGAATGGTTGGGCACACTGTTCAAATCTTGGAAATGTTTTAATGCAACATATTATTGCTCTAGTATTCAACTACTTGAGTTGAATACCTTCCAATATTTGAGCTTAATTATTATTGTGACCTTTGTTGTTATCAAGTCATTTTGTTTTGGTCATCCACCAATATAATATTAAAAAATACAATTACAGCTATCTCACTGATAATTATCAAAAGTATACAAAAAAGACTAAAATTTAGATCAATTGTATACATTAAAATGTTAATACCATTATTTAGGTGTTTGTTTAGTTATTTATTTCCATTTAGGTGCTGCCCAACTCCAACAGACTCTCAGTGTAAGTCTTAAAACTAAGATGGTAAGTTTTATGTTTTAAAGAGAAAAGTGAATATAGAGGAGATTTATACAATCTGGAGAAAATGGTATAGATTCCTAACTGAAGATAAATTTTAAAAGCTAATATGAATTATAAAATCACTATGTCACCAAGATCTACAGATAACAATCTATGTATAATATTAATATTTCAAGCATAAGAATTATAATAGTATGGTATAAAAATAGAATAGTACATACATGAACTATTATTATATTGATTTAAAAAGCCAACTGCAATTACTGGCTTTCTGCACGGTTAAGAGATCTATAGCAATTCTGTTGTAACATGCAAATAAAAGTATGTTAGAGATGGCATTTGCTCCAAAATATATTAAACTGTTAGGATCAGATACCATCTCTTCTTTGCAAAGGCTGGCATGTGTCCCTTAAAAGGCCATTCCCTGTGTGATTAAAATGACCTCAATCCTGTTGGTTTTTCATAGAAGATCTGGATGTATTCTCATGCATGGTGTTCAGATATATATCTGCCACTAGTTAGCAACTTCACATGAGGGGTGCGTGTGTGTACGTTCACTATGGTTAGATGGGCAATCATATAGAATGAATGAATGACTAAATGAATGAATGAGAACCTCTTTTAAAATAATATTTGCATGAAAGATGCTTGTGTAGAGAAATGGAGGGTGCCATGCCTCAGATATAAAGTCCAACACATTTTTTAAAGAATAATGCTTTTTGTGTCTTCAAGTTAGGGTTGACCTGGTGACCTTCTCAACTTGTCTCTGAAACTTTCTTGGCAATGTTTTCTTCCTTTCTTTTTGGAGGTAGTTTGTCATTGCCATCTTCCTAGGGCTGAGTGACTAGCTCAAGGTCACCCAGCTAGTTTTGTGCCTAAGGTAGGGCTAGAACTCAGAGTTTCCAGGTTTATAGCCCAATGCCTTAAATACCATACCAGATGTGCTCTTCTCAGAGCACAAATATCTGCTTAAAAGTGACTCTGTCACATGCTTGTTTATGTCCACACAGAATTAAGTCCTACTGCAGTACAGAACTTATCCTGATGTAATTATACTCAGGATTACAACTACAACCAAGTTGTAGTATCACCCTTATAAGATCTAGAACCTTAGGCCTAAACAAATCCCAAAGTAGCTGAAGGATTCTCTTACACTCATAAAAATATTTGTTTACAAAAACCTAATATTGATACAATAAATACTGATGGGAAACTAAAATAAATAGATTTATATGGAAATGTAGTTTTCTTAATGTTCAAAAGAGGATATTTGATTGGAAACAAATAGTGGCCAAACATGTGGAGCTAATTTGAAACCTGGCATCAATCATTGCTGGGAACCAATTTCTATTTCTATTTGTACACCTTGGTGAACTTTCCTTCAGCATCAAACAAGCAAAGGAGAATGGAGAAGCTGAAGGCAATTTAAATCAAAACATTCTATATTTAAACCAACAGCCCTCAAAATGCCAAAAGGCTTATGATACTTTACAGAATAATCAATTCAGCTGGCAAACATTTTAAGGCATCAAAGCACCACAGTCATAAATGTACAAGTAGGAAAAAATAATCAGCATTATAATCAGTACAATACTTGTACCAGTTAAAGAAGGGCATTTTATGATAGTTTTATCCAGAAGGGCAGTTATATTTAAAGCACCTGAACATCTTGACACCTTAAAAAGTCATCTTTATAAAACAGATTTTATGAACTGGAATTGGATTCATCTGATGGAGGAGATTCCCATTGTACCAGCATTCGTTCCTTACTGAATGTATTCACTTTTAACAACCAGCCCTTCCTGTGATGTTGCAATCTTGTTTGTGTTGGACAGTAATTCTTGATATAAGAAGGGTTTTATGTAAGAGTGCAGTTAGATTCATCTGTGAATTGTTAGGAGAGATATGCCGTTAATCACTTGAGGGCATTTCACACATTCCAGATTTTGTAAGGGTGAATATACTAACAACTACAAATGAAGCAATGTGTAAATGAGATCAAGTCATTTTGACTAAGAGGCCCGTCACGTTGGCACACTCAGCAGAGACACATGATTTGTTGCAGCCCCCATCAAAGTGGGAGGCCCAGGCCTTCTGCCATGTAATGGGAAAAATGACCCACAAACAACATGAAAGGCCAAAAACTGAAAAAGTTGTGCATCACTGAAAAAGTTCTGGAAAGGGTAAAAAGATAGCAATGGGATCCATAAATAAGACAGGAGAGAAACAAAAGAGAAAATTAGTTTTGCTGGAGGCAGCTCAGATATTTCTGGTAAACATATTGACAGATAATTTATCTTTTATTTTTGGGTGCATAGAAAGACTTCTCTTAAAAGATATACCCTCACTTATTGGGAAAATATTCTTCCTGCTCTGTACTTTGATTGCAAACCCTACTTCTTTTCAAAATGAAATACACATTGCATAAAATAAAGAGATGTTTCCTTACTTGCAGGCTACTGTCTTCTCCAGTCTGGAATAATCTTCATATTTTATACATGTTGTGCTTTATCAGATCTGCCTTATATTTTTTTTCTGCTTTGTTTTCTACAAGCAGGAAAGTTGGGGAGCCAAAATAGGCCAGGGGGAAGGGGAACTTGCACAATGGCTGTCCTTAAGGAACAGAACCTGCATGCAATGCACATGAGCACCATAGCAAAAACAAGAGATGACATCTTTCTTTGCCCTGGGATTGAGTTTGCTCATCCAAGTATTTTTTCCCCCAGCATCTCTCCTCTCTCCAAAGTGGTAATACCCTAAGGAATTCTTGAACATCAGTTTTTGCTGTGCTTATCAAATTGCCCTAAGAATGGGAAGACATGCTTATTACAAACCAGGTATGGAGGAATCTTACTGGGAATTAGTACATTGTGTTCTACAAGCTGAATGCACACAAGTGCTCAGTGGTTAGATTCATATACTACACTAAACTAAAATAAGCTTTGGAAGGTTGCAACTCAGTGAGTTGAAACAACTGCTGATAGTCTTCCAAAGTAGTCAAGCCATCATTTAAGCCACCATATAGTCTACATGCTCAGAGATAGATGATGATGTGAATGCAGCAGCCATATTCAAATTTAGCATAGAAACGCCAGTTTATCCATCTACTTTTCTTCACATATAATCCCTTGGCATTCTACTGCATGATCCCTCTGCATCCATGGCAAACAACATCCACAACCTGATATGCTGTTTATCAGTCAACAATGAGGCAAAAATGAAGCCATCTAAAATTTCCGAGGTATAAACTCTAAAGAGGAATCATCCAAAAGAGACTGATAGGATGGCATTTGTTTGATTCTGCAATCATACACATGACTTTGTTATACCCAGAAACCCCATTCTAGGACAACTTACAACATGGAAACAGCTAGTAAGCCATTACCCTAGCCAGGATTGTGGATGATATGAATGAGTTAGTTGGCCTTTGGCTTACCATCTCAAGGGAACACAGTAATTGTGGTTCATACGATCTTTCTGGGTAGACAAGGTACGAAGCTGCATTCCCAGAGAAACCCACAAAATATAAACCAGTGGTTAAGATAAAATTATTTCCCATTGTCAAATCATAAGCATCTTACCCCAAATGTGTCTTCCTCTGGCTTATGTGTCACTGTGATGAGAGGGGAGGGACTTGGACTGTATTCATCTGAAACCAAAGGAACAAAAGAAGAAAAAAAAGTTTATTTCACAGTTTAGAAAAATGTGTACGTACACAATAAATATTATATTTTACATGTGTATGTGTATACAATTAACTCTTAGAAAACCCCCTGTTCATTCCTTCCTATATCTACCCATTGTTGTACTACCCCAATATTGTCTTATAATGTTATTTCCATCCCACATCCAGTTGAAGCATCCTGTACTTTTGGATAGACTTTGATTCCTCTTATGTCCCCCCCACCACTACTCCAAATCCCATTAATGGCTATTCTACTCAGGAAGCTTTTAAACCAGGTTGATGCTGTTTTATTTCCAGATTGATGCTTCTATTTGAACACTCCTACCTCTCTGCTGTCACATTTATCCCAATTATTTTTTCTGCTGATGTTCCTAAATTAGCAATTTCTGCTATCCATTGGTGAAAAAATGCAGGGAAGCTTAACTCAATATCATTTCAGAGTAATACCCTAACCTAGGTATCCAAATGCGGGCAATTATTAATAACAACAACATCAACTAAAGGGATGGTGAATTAGACTTGGAAGGACATGACCAAGATGAGCTTGACTTGGGTGGTATACTACCTTTGGTCATGTAGAGCCCAACTCTTGAACTGATGCCCATCTCCATGTTTCATAGAAGTTCTAAATTTCAGTTGTTCACCCCTGGGAAATGTTCTTTTTTCCTGCAATCTTTATTTGCATGAAAGAAGAAAGAAAGGAAGTCCTCTCTTTACTCACCCCTTATTTTTTTTAAAAAATATGGGTAATCTTAATCTGATGACAATTTACACTTGTTTGTCAAAAAGGTACATATCCACTTTTCAGTGGCTGTCATGTTTTCTTCTGAAAAGATATATAGTAGCTAATCTGTGAAACAGATCAGCAAAATATCATAGTACGGAGTGTTCCTAGTCAGGTGAACAACTGGCTATGACTTGTTCAATATTCTGATCCCTTCATTCATCTAGCTTTCCCTTTCACGATCGATGAGAAAACGTATCTTTACAGGACTGTTTCTGAGTTCTCCCCTCACCGCCCACATTTCTTTCATTTTTTACTTCCATTAAATCCCAGGAAAAGCTGGTATTGTTTTAGCTATATAAACACTCATAAACTCTTAGGAGTTTTCCCTTAGCAAATTAGAAAATGCTAGTGATCTGCAGAAAAATTCAATTGGATGAAAGGAAATGTACTTTAAATCTTTTTTTAAAAAAAAAGCAAAACAGAATGTCACTGAAATTCTCAAGAGTGAAGTGTGGCACTCTTGCTTTTTTAGTGAAGTGTTTCATGGTTCAACCTCCATGAATTCAAAATATTTTTCTCATCTTCGTGCCCTCCAATTCATTTAGACTTTATTATATGAGTTGGTTTAACACCTGGCAGATTCAAGCTCCACGATTAAGGCTATATTCCATCAGGTTGAAATTAAAAACGTTATCCATAGGAGCCGAATCAAAATATTAAATTAAAATATCACCCCACATGCCATGGTTTGGTTAGTTCTGGCTTTGCCTTAATTCAGCCATTATGGTTAGTTTACAACTTATTATGCAATGCAGAACCAATACATTGTGATTTGTCCAACAAGCCACAGGTAAGCAAAGCAACTCCAGCCAGAATTGTGTGAAGGCACACAATACATGCACAGGATTGTGTCAATTCATCCCACGTTGCCCCAAATCTAATTCATTCCCCAATAGGAATCAAATCACTCTTGGAAAGGATGCAACACTAGAGTCCCAAAAGTTAAAGATGAGCAATCATTTCTCTTTGATCTACAATATTTGAACATAAAACCAGGGCTGGGCTGCTTGGGGTTTGCAGGGGTTCGGGAGAGCCCCTAGCTAAGATTCTATGCAGTCCGGAGAACCCCCAAATCCCACTCCTGGCTGATGCCACCCACACTACCCTTCCCCTCCCAGGAGTCCCCATGCGACTCATTTTGGATGCAGGTAAGTGCAGGGCACGTGTGGAGGCTCGGGGAGGGGGACAAATGGGTGTCCCAGAAGTTTGGGCCCATTTCTGGCTTCCAGAGAGCCTTCAGAGCCCGGGGAGGCCATTTTCACCTTCCCGGAGGCTCAAAGAAAGCCTCTGGAGCAGGGGAGGGCAAAAATGCCCCCCACCATGGTGCAGGAGGCCAACTAGGCCACGGCCTCCATGGCCACGCCCACCCAGCAACCGGGCAGAGAACCCTTTGCTAAAATTGTTTGAAGCCCACCCCTGCATACAACATGGGTGTAGGTCTGATTATCAAGTTAAAGGAAACAGCTATTTCAACCTGGACCTCTCAATGCTTTGATTGGACACCATAAAAGCTCCGTGTAATGAAGCACTTTGCCAAGGGAGGTATCCACACAACTCACATGTTAGCAATAGTTAGTTTTAGAAAACTTGCTACCTTTATACCAATAATGTTTTGATAAGCAATCCAGAGCCACCGAGAAATAGGTGGCACATAAACGTAATAAAATGATTATGCTCAGTTTTTTCCCCCCTGATTTCTTCCAGGGATGCCCTGCCCTTTGATCCCTTCCTAAAATTTGTTCTTACTGTTCTAACAAAACAAAAATCCTTGATTAAAGGTCTGAGTGACACAGAGGAATTGTAGTCTGATCAAACAGGCAAGGAAAAACTTACATGTGACAAAGATATCTGGAATGCCTGTAAAAAAAACAAAAGCAAAAAAGAAGTAAAGACAAAGGGGGGAGAGAGAAAGAGAAATAAAATGGTTATCACTATCATTGGAGAACAATCGTGAATCTATTCATGACTGTTCACGAATCGTGATGCTATTAGTAAAGCCACTGGCTGAATTCTCCTCTGATTTAAAAGAATTTTCACATATGTTTTGAAATAGGGTATATGAAGGCATATGAAGAGAGGGTTTCTTTTTTTGGGGGGGGGGGGTGTTAGTTGGAAAGCAGCCACATGCCCTAATTTACAGAGGACATTATAGACAATGTTCCTGTATAAAAATTTCTTCTGTTTTAGAAGCCTGAGTGCTTTAAATCTGATTTAGGAAATAATGGGAGTTAAAGGGCCCAATTTAGCTATCAATCGTTAGTATTTAATAATCAGGCAGTCTTCCCCATTACAGGGCTGTGAACTAGGATCTTATTGAAATTATATTAGCTGTGCTAAAAAAACTACCATATTCAGAGTCATCCCCTTTAATTACCTTGTTGGCAATACAGTTCCTCTTTTTAGAAGAGGCATGTAAGTAGCTACTCATTCAAAGTATTCCATGCTAGTTATATTGCAGAGTGGAATTTTGGGTAGGTATTTGGTCTTCCAAACCAGAAACATATTCAAATCTCCGCTTATGCACAGAGCTTAATATAGGAGTGTCCAACCTTGGCAACTTTAAGCCCTGTGGACTTTAACTCCCAGAATTCCCCAGCCAGCATGGGGAAATGATTTCAAAATGACATTTTTTTTTAATGAATTGGACCTTAGCCAGAAGATTATCTGCCTAGAAATTCCAAATAATTTTTTCTCTACCATAATAACTTCTTCAAAGATAAGATTTAATGGTCTCTATAGATCATTAATAGAGAAAGTTCCATGGAAACAAAACATAAATAATAAATCAGGATATCACTGGCATTGTGCTTTCCCTATATAACAAAATGTCAAATTTCATTGTGGGAAGTAACTAATAGGTGCTCTGCATTCTCATGACAGCAGGCCAGATGGTAACATGCATGTATAAATGCCTGAAAAAAAATCAATTATATCAGGAGGAAGGCAGTATATAAATCTTGTTATTTCAGTCAGACTGCAGACACATAGCATTATTTGTTGAAAAGAAAAAAAAGGATTAATTGTGGACACTTATCTATGTTCTTATAGATAGAACAACTTTTTTTTGCATTTATTCTTTCATAGAAAAGCAGAAAACTTTTTGAAAAAACTTCTTGAAAATTCCCATGATGGAAGTAACTGCTAACTTCTGGAGGAAAGCTGTTCCACTGATGAATTCTTCTCACTGTCAGGAAATATCTCCCAAATTCTAAGTTGGATCACTCTTTGAAAAGTTTTCATCCATTCCTTCTTGTCCTGCCTTTTATGGACAACTGGGCAAATGATTGCTTAGTGTGGCATCCAACTTTCAGCAATAGTCAGCCAGTTCATTTCCAAAAAAGCTGACCTACTGATAACTTTCCCCATTAATGTATCCGCCTGGATCCACTACTCAAAGGTATTACCCTTCTGAACACAGGAGTTCCATTTAGTGACTGCGTCAAGTAGCTCTAATAGGTTTGCATTCCATTCATTACCAAAACCCCTTTTAAAGGTCATTTACAAGGAGACCCTTCTTCTCAGGTTATGCTGATGAATTCTATCAGTTAATCAAGTGTATGTGGCGTTTCATTTTGGAAATTTAACTTTAATATGATCCAATCAAACTCTTAATCAACTTTCTGAATCAAAGCAATGATTCAGTTAAAATTGTCAGATCAAATCAGATACCCTGGATGTCTTTTGCACACGCACATATTAGCATCTGAAGTGGTTCAGTTGAAACCAGATTTGATCCAAGTAGTTTCAGTTTTCATTTTGGGGCAGGGAGATCAATTTAGATCTGGGACTTGCTGTTTACACTAGTTTTCCAAGTGGGGGCTGTTCTCCAAAAGATTTGGAAACCAAGAACAGCTTGGAACCCTAACCGCAACTGACTCATATGTTAGTGAGGTTTGTTAGGAAAAGAAGAAACAGAAGGAGTTCAAGCCAAGAGGAATTTCTCTTTTCTTCTAGTTGGAAAAAAGCTGAGAAAATCTTCCTCAATAACAGAAACACTGTAGTAAATTATTTACTACAAATTGCACCGAAGACAAAATTAAATATTCACATTGTACTGTTCTACTTCGATTCTTGTTCTAATGTTAATTGTTTATTCATTCATTAAATGTACTTCCCACCTTTCTTTCAGGAGCTGAATTTGATCTTCATAGCAATCATCGTTTCAGAGACATGGGCTAACCTGAGAGACAACAACTGGCCTAAAATTAACACTCAGTCCTGGTCTTTAGGGAAAAAAAATCCATCCCATAGAGAAGAATTGAGGTATCTCCACATTGCATGCAAACAAACTTTATTATGTACTGTAAAGAAATTTGATGTGCACTTAAGAGTTACGCAGTACAAACAGAGTACTTTTTTAAAAAAAACCAAGTGGGTTTCTGTATAGGAATATTGTATATTGTCTAATTGGATCCTCATATTCCTTTATTTATTTTTTTCATTTATATGTCTCAACCAAAATGTAACATAAGCACTCACCCCTTTAATGAAAGAGACTATCCTCAAATCAATTCATTTGTTAGAATCACACCCCAACTTTCAACAAGAGCTCACTGATGTGCATTACAATCTGTCCATATGTTTATCCCCATTTAAAAAAAAATATCTGGGATGGGACAGGTTGGGCTAGAAACAATGATAATCCGAAGTCCCCAGTTGAACTTCCATGACTGAGGCTGAACATCAACCTTGGTTTCCCCATTAACCATGCTGACTTTGGAATACACAGATCTCATCATTAAAAAAATGGACCCCTCTTTTATCTTTAGAAAAAAAAGCTACAAAAAAGCTTGCCCTCCCCTTGCTATAAAGTGTCAATCTCTCACTTGGAAATGGTTTCTCCAGAAAATGTCCTCTGACAGTCTGGTTGGCTGTTCCCAAGGAGTTGGTCGCCACGATGGTGTAGTTGCCATTGTTGTAATGAGTGGGATGGTTGAAGAGCAAACAGCCATCTGTGATGTCCCCACCCTGGTAGACATCCATGCGGATGAAGGCGGTTTGCCTAAGAAACTGGCCATTGTACAGCCAATGAATTTGGGGTGGAGGGTTCCCATGAACGGAGAACTCAATACAATGTTCCATATGCCGGATTGGTTCCAGTAGGCTGAGGATACGGGGAGGAGCTAAAGAATGGAAGAGAGTGGCAAACAAACATTAATAGTCATCCACAAAATGTTAGAAGGGGGGAAAAAATCACAGATCGACCATGCTTTCTCTAAACTCTGTTGGAGGCACAACTGGATTCAACTTTCAAAAACTCAAACATTCTATTTGTATTTTAAGATCATGTAAAGTCTCACCTGCCATATATTATAATATACATTTACCTAATGAGGGAGGGAG